TGTGTGTGTGTGTGTGTGTGCCCCTCACACTCTCGCCCTCTCCATTTCGGCGTTCCTTTTTTTAATATTGAGTGAAAATATATGAATGCAATGGCACTGATTGGTCATCGGTTTTGTTTTTTGTTTTTTTTTCATCATTCTCACATGGCACTGAAAGGAAAACCCTCCAGGTTTTTGCATGGCAGCAAAAATATCTGAAACGGATCCACAGCGATCATGATCTTGTCTTATATAGACGAGTTTGTGATCGCAGGTTTGTGCTTTATTCTTTCTTTTTTTTCCTTTTTGTTTGTTTGTTATTTTGTTTGTTTGTTTGTTTTTTGGTAAGTGTTTTACGACGTTCTCAACTGCACTAGGAAACATTAAACTTTTTCAGTTGGTGAGAAATTTTCAATTTTTAACGGGTGGTGGTCAAAGCCTACTCTTATCGATGTTGGACTACCAAGAGATATTTAACATGTGCAACTTGCACACGGGACCTCCAAGAATTTTCGCTATAAACATTATTTTGCAATTTTACCTATTATTCACCTTTTTTTAAACGATTCTTCCAAACGCTTCAAAAATATGCTATAAACTTTTAAAATAACTGCAGGGGTCATTAAGAAAAAGGGTGTACGTCACACGTTGCTAAAATAGTGTTATTATTAGTTTGACGACACACGTCAGGGGAGACTACTACACAGCATGGTGTTTGGCTGAAATGTCTGGATCAGTTATGGTCTTTACAAATTACCTGAACTCAGGAGTCCAGCTTTGAAAAAAAAATAATTCTCCTTGAAACGACCTGAAAATGACTTAGATTATTCCGCCGCTACTTTGTTTATGGTATTGCTAAAACAAGTTGGTAGCGTCGAGACAATAAACTCATTAGCCTTACTGTACGACATTCAATAGTTTGCTGCATATGTTCTCCGGGGGTTTTTTAGGGGGAGGGGGGAGGAGATTTTTTTGCGCTGACGAAATGGTCGAAGAGGTCCTACAATTGTCTTCGAGAAAAGAATTTGTCTTAGACAGGTAAACGTCGTGGACGATGTCATTTTGATATTTTTTAAAAAACGTAAGGAAAATAAGTGGAAAATGACGGTTTGTACAAGTGATTCTTGGACAGGTTGGCGTTAGAACAGGTTCGACTGTATTAACAAACAAGACAAGTATTATAATGAGCAGCCTTTGTAAGCCACGACAGCTGATCAAGGTATCTCTTTGATCTTCCAATCCACCCGCTTCCTGTCCTTTATTTCGTCCCAAATATTGTCTTCTGCCATTATCATAGCCAACAATGAGGATCAGTGAGCTTACAATGCTCTGGGTAATGAAGCAGCCACAGATACAATGAGATACTTAGAAAAGCTCATTACCCCCCTGACCTGCATTCTTTGTTCTGGCTGGTCATTAGTCTAACCTCTGTGACATCATCGGATCTGGGTCAATGTAAGAGTTCGGTGGCCGGCATCAAACCCGCCGTTTGACGTTTGTTGGTTTAATCAGACGAAACATTCATCTTTAATGAAAGAAATACTGGTTCTAGTTTTTAAAATAGAACATTTTATTCTAAACGAAAGAGGACATTATCCTACACAGCCTTTCATTGTCGAGGTGAAAGTTGTTGTCTTAGACGGGTGGACCGCTTGGACAGTGACATTATATTATTATTATTATCATTATTATTA